TGTAGGGACAAGTTGGGCAATTTAAACCACAAGGTTTCATACCAGGTATTAGCCTCTTTGGCCTCATTCTAGGAAGATCTGGAATTCTTGCTCGGATGAGTTTATCCCTGAGATTAGGAGGATAATTCTTTGATTTAGTATAGTGATACCTACTGAGAAAGTTGTAATCTGTAAGAGTTTGGTTTTCTATGTTCACAATTTGTTTGTTTATGTTTTGACTGCATAAGGTTGTACTTAGTAAAACAAGAAAATTACAGTATACAGAGTAAACTTGTCCGTCTTCACTGTTCATCTTGCGGAGACATTATAGACACATCTTTACAGTCTTTTATCCTTTTTATAAAATAAACTCTAGCAGACATAATACTATTATGGCTTTTGAAATTAGGAATTGCAATGCTAATTCATAACAAAGGCGATATTGAATTCGTCACTGAATTCCCATGTTTTTTGGGACACCTAAGGTATGACAAATGATACACCATTGGAAGGTTGGAAAACGTCTTGTGTTCCACTTTTTCTGCATGTGCTCATAACCTTAACTTTAAAGATTCATGATCTAAGAATCTTAGATTGGCAATGAAAATACATCCTTTACACTGTAAAACTTACAAACCAACTTAAAGCTAGGCTCTTGCGCCATTTCTATCACCAATAGAATAACTTGAGTAAAACCCTTTTTTAACCAATGAAACCAGGTCCAGGCCCGGTTTAATGTTATATATGTATTGTATTATATATATTTTGTGTGCAAACTGTAACGCTTTGTGGTATGTGAATTTCTCCTCAAATTCTTAAAATGCGTTTTTTTCGTTTTTTTATCAATTTAAAAATTTCGTTTTGCTTAAACAGCCCTAGTTTATTGAGTCCAGATCGTAATTTTTTCTATTTGTACACGTTATATATTTTACTAGAATATTAGATTCTAAGCCTGTTTTCGCTGAAATAATTGATTTGATTTGATTTGATATGATTTGATTTGATTTGATATGATAATATAATTTCACTTTTTCTGGAACAATATGCTTTATTTTTGAAATTGCAAAGTTTACACAGGATAATTTAGAACGAATGGCATTTAAATGGTAGTCTCAGGACAAAACTCATCTAAGTAATGTAGTATATTGTCACTCGACTCTATAAAAGAATGTTAAGTTATTGAAAATCAAATGTTTAGAAATTATTCTGAGAGATATTAGTGTAAAGGATAAAAGCTAAACTCTTTGTTAAACTTTTCGTAGGCAGTCATTCAGGCAGTGTGCCTGAGGACTCAAGCATTTTTTTAAAAAACCCGGTTATAGGCCTAAAGGGAGGGCTTTGGATATTTATGAAAAATTAGAAAATGTCAATAGCCTCAGACCAACACTTTATGAGTTATGTAAAAAAAAACTAACAGGGGGGGGGTTCAACTTGACCCCCCTCTCCGCATGAATAGGGTTAATATCCTTTGTTTTTCTAGATTAATTATCAACGTGTATTCTTATAAGAATGTCCTAGAAGCAGACGTTTTTTAAACTAAATGCCTGAGTCCTCAGGCACACGGCCGAATGACTGCTTTTTTCCTGAAACAAACTAAATCTTTGTTTCGACCCACTTTCAGTTGTCAGATTTTGATAACTTGTAGTGAAATAAATGTTACAAAATGCGGTTTTCAATATATATAAATAGTGAGCTTTCTGAGAATTGGCTAATCTCAACAATTTCTCTTATTTGAAAAAAAAACTGCTTTAAAAAATCTTATTTTTTGCGTATTTTTACTCTCTATCCCATTTAGTTTTCCTCTTTTAAATGGGTGATAAGCATTAACAGACAATTTTGTTGTTTTTGGTTAAACTTTGGTATTGAAAACTGTTTTTTGAATTATTTTATAAAAAAAAGTGTTGAAAAAGAAGAACAACAATTACCTTTTGATCAGTTAGGAATGGTTTGTTTTTGTTTCCTTCCAGAATCTCAAATAGGAGAGTACGCTTTCGCTCCTCTAAACCAATTGCTAAGGACACCCATTCAAACAATAATCTTTATTAGAAAGGTAAAGTTATCAATATTACTTTGTGATTTGGGTATGTCTAGAAAATCTAGAGCTGGAAATTATTAAATCGTGGATATCGAGATCAAACGTTGATCTCAATTATTTGATAATCTTTATTCAATATCCTCTGAAGTTCAGCAATCGAATAGCCAATCAAAAGCCAAGGAATTTTACATTTTACCAATGAGGAAACAGAGAAAGTAGGGATGTCCAAAATAAAGAGATCAAAGAGATTTTCTGTAACCTTCAAAAGTGTCCAAAATTGTGGATATCTAGATCTAGATCAGCTCAGAATAAATGAAAATGAATAATTAGTTTGAATTTCCTTGAATGAATCGCTTTAATGGTGGGTGCGGAACATTTAGCACAAAGCTATAATCATCTTTTCCTTCAATAAAGAGTATGTAAAAAATACATCAGTTCAAAATCAAAATTATGCATAGATACAATACCTAAAATTTTATTACACAAAACTGCATTACAATTCTAATCTAATTGTGCCAAGTGCGGAAAAATACTTAAAAAGAGATAATACACATGCATCAAAAGTGCAGGCGATAAATTTGCACAAAATTCTACTATTTTCTTTCGACAGTTGAGTAACCTTTCTGAGGACTGAACCAAATTTTGCGAAATTTTCGCAATATCCGTACCGCAAATTTCTGCATTTTTTCACAAATAAATCAATTTAATGTCTAAAAAAGAAATGTAAAAAAATACTCATTTTTGGCGAAACAAAATTTGTTCCCATTCTGCTGGAAACCCTAGCTCTGTCAGGCATAATTAAAGGGAGTGTTTGCAAACAATGAAAGGGGGTAAAGGCTTACGGCAAAAAATAATCGCTTTTAATCACTACTAGTCTCAGGGGCGGATATAAGGATTCTGTAGGGGGGGGTAAAAATTTTTAGTTTAGCGCGCGAAGCGCGCCGAAATTTTTTTTACCCCCCCCTAGAAATTTTTTTACCCCCCCCTAGAAAAATATCATGATGTATATCAAATTATTGGTTTTAATTGGGTTTGCTTTGCATTTTCCACTCATTTCTGGGATTTACAAACTCAATCTAATAAAGGCTTCATTACATACCTTTCAGCTTTCACCTTGTTTTATACCCTTCATTAAAGTCATTCATTTTACATTAACTACAAAGATCTGTACTAAAAACTGAATTTATTTATTTTAACTAAACTTTTTATATTAAGTTTGCTGGCAAACATTGACAAAAAAGGCAGTAATATAAAAAATAATAGTTTTACTCTAAGAGGAAAAAGATGTTACTTTTTTAAAT